ACTTAGTAGCCATTATAGTGTCCTGTATTAGGAGGATATGCGTCTAGTCGAACGAAAAGAAAAAAAAAAAAAAAAAAGAAAAAGAAAACCCCGCTTAGATTGATTGAAGCGTTTGTGGAAGAAAGGTCAGATGTGGAGAGCCGATATACGAATTTGAGTTCAGATAATTTTAGATAGTTTTTGGAATTTTGTGTGCCACATATTAAGACGAATGAACTTCTAAATAGGGTAAATGGATATTTGCTTTTTGTAGTTCTTAAATGTATAACATGTTTTTCCTTTTTTTATGTTATTTTATTGTTTGGTTTAAAATGTAGTTTACTGAGATTACGTATTTTTTATTTGTCTGTATTGTAGAATTGGGTGCTCCTTTGACTTTATAAGTGAAAATAGGTCGACGTGTACATGGATAATGTCAAAGGAGTGCGCAATGCCATTTTTGTGCAATTCGGGGTTTTTTTTAAGTGAAAATAGGTGGATGTGTACATAGATACCGAGTTTGTGCAATTCTTTGTCTTGTTATTTTGGCTTTGTGTAGTGGCGATTTTTGGCGCCAAAATCGTCGCTATGCTAGCCAAAATAAGTCAAAGAATTGCACAAACTTGGTATCCATGTACCGCTAAAAATCGCCAAGTTTCGCCAAGGGGTACCCTAAAATATACTTTTAACAAATTATATTATACTGCGTATTATATTAATAAATAATGAAGAAACTATGCATTTTCTGCTCCACAGAGCAAAATAAAGTTTGTTCTGTTGCAGCACTAGCACAGGGTCTACTACCCCAACCTAGGGGCTCTATTGTAAGGATGATCTCCCTGATTCTCTACTGATTCCAAAGAACTAAACGGTATAACAAAATATCCGGTTTACCCCTTGCCAGTAAGCGAAGAGATTATTAGAAAATTAAATCTACAAAATGTATGACGAAGCCTAGACCTCAAGTTTGGTCATTTTCAAATATGTCTGAAACCTCAGGACGTACCCAGAACTGCATTTATTACCAATAATAAAATTATGCCTTACTTGGAATGCCGTTTGGAATGTCGCATATGCAGAAATCTCGCTCAGATATTTTCTTCTATATATTAGAGCTTTGAGCCTATGGCATGTACTTTGTAAATCAACATTCATATACTAAGATGACATAATGGTATCAAGCGAAATATACATGCGACAAAATATAAATTCAGGGCCAAAGGACTTCGATATATGTGTTATAAAATATCTGACGGGGAATAGAAACTGAAGATTCAAAAATCGCAGGTATAAAATATTATCCGCAGCCTCCGGAAACTGAAATTTTGAAAATATGCATCCTTTTTTTTTTAAGATCCTGATCACTTTGAGCTTTATGACGGGACGGGAATGAAGGACAGGACCACAAACTAGTATGAAATCATTGATAACCTTCTGCTCTATACAAAAGGAACAAATAAGAACTATGAATTATGACAGGCTACTACTGCGATTTTAAGAATTTAACACAACTTCCATGATTGGCCTTTATCAGGTCATTTTGGAATAAGAAAAAGAGTGCTGAGAGTAAGGGAAGCTGCTTATTTTCTGTAGCTGCAAAGATCTGTAGTTGAATTTGTCAAGTCCTGAACACTTGCCACTTATAATAATATTGATTATAGAACTACTATAATAATATTGATTACCACCACTATAATAATATTGATTATAGAACGACAGAATACCTAAATAACACATAAAATTCCATAACGAAATCATAAGAATTTATTTGTTGTGCCCTTACCCACTGAGTGAAATAAATAAAAATAGAAACTTGTTTGTGATTGTTCGAAGCTGGTAAAAATAATTCCCCTTCAGAAGGACATCTGTTTTTCATTTAAAATAAATTTACTTTAACGTATTAAGCTCCGGCAAAAATAATCTCAGATCACAGTAAAAGATTCATAGTCAAATGTTTGAGGAAATGTATGTATGTTTTGACATAAAACAATTTAAAATAGTACTTTGATGGCCAAAGTGGAATATCGCAGAATGAACGAATGAAAATGTAATTAAAATTATCCTCAACTACGTAAGAAACAGCCACCAGCGCTGGGATAGCTGTGTTAATGAACTAACCTATGCAAGATCCGCCAAACATGAAACGAAAGGGCAAAACTTCAGCTGAGCTATTTCTCGTCAGGAAGTTAATTACGACCCTCGATAAAAATTGTTTTAATTGAAAAAAAGGTCGGAAAAATTATATAAGTTGAAAGACAGTCAGAAATTAGTTGATGAATCAATGTGTATTCTTTACACGGCCTGTGCGAAACAAATCTTTTGTTGCCGAAAATCCAAGCATGAGTTGGATTTTTAAAGTGAGAGTACGGTTTTAAAAATAAACATTCACTTTCATATGTAGTGAAATGAAATGTGGGAAATTTTGTATTAAATTTGAAGGCCCTTTTTAATCTAGATAATAAAGAAAATAGTTGCATATCAGATAAAGAAAATGTTATGAGCGGGCTGCCGTTTATAAGATCATTATTCCATCTATCACCTGGCTAGAGCATGGCAAGGTCCAGCACTGGAGTCCATCTCACAAGAGCAACAGAAAAAATAATAGATTCTGAAAAGAAAAAGGGAAGAAGAGGGAAAATAATGTATCAGAGGTTCAAATAAATGCTCAAGAATCTCTGAGATGTTGCTGCCACCCGAGTAAGGAATATACTTTAGGTTGAAGGAGGGCGAAAAGAAGAAGTCCCAGTAAACTTTATAAAGAAAGAGACATGTACTGTCGGAAAAATGACACATCAGTTAAGGAGAAATCTACGTTTATAAATCGTTGTCGGATCAAGAAACTATACAAAAGAAAGTTAAAAGAACCAGCGATCAAAACGTACAGATGTACAGCAGACCAGAAAGTGCAGACCGTGTACCGGAAAGGAACCTTCAAACCAAAACACGCCAGCATTAAAATAATACGTCAAACATCACAGGAAATCAACGAGAACCCTAAACAAAATCTATTAGCGTAAAATGCCAGGAAATGATGACAGCTAACAGCCCCAGATGTATGTATATTCGAGTCAAAAAACAATGACACCCTACATTTAACGATTTCGTAGAAAGGGGATGTCTGACTTCTACAAATATAAAAGATAAGTGACAATTTCTTTTATTTCTTTAAGTTGTTCGAATGCCGTATTGTGTTTTGCAGTCCACATAAATCGCGTTTTTTCTTTTCAAATTAGTAAGGTTTTCAAGTCCTTTATTAACGATCTATAGTAAGAGCACATGCTGAGAAACAATGGCAATTTCTTTGCTGTCTTTGGTGGCGGATAATTTTTAATGGCTTCTATTTTTGAAGTCTCTGTTTCAATAGCTTTTTGTGAAATTTTATACATTAGGTAGCGAAGTTCTTTTGCGGCGAAGTTTCACTTCGAGGCGTCTATCTTGAGGCAAGCTTCGTTTAACAGAGAAAATATTTCATTTAAGTGTTCAATGTATTCATCAGTTGTTTCGCAAGTAGTAATTATATAGTCCAAGTACATGAATACACACTTTCCTAGGACTGGCCTTGAAAGCACATCCATGGCCTTTTGAAATTATGCCGGAGTCAAAACGAATCTTTAAAAAGGCATATACGCCTGATTTAGTAGTGAAAACTGTTTTCCGTTCGTCCTCGAGTTTTACGCCGATTTGAAAATAACCGGAAGTTTAATCTAGAATTGCCATATAGTTTTTGGATTTTATTTTCCATATGATTTCTTTTATGATTGGCTGAGGGTAAATCAGATGTTTAGTAATACTTTTGAGCTTACGATAACGGATGGCAAATCGCCATGGTTTATGGTCCGAAGATGGGAGATTACTTTTCTTACGCCATAACACTACAGGAATCGCGTATGGACTGCTTGTGGGGATTATAATTTTAATTCTCTGTCATTTCTTTAATGTGGTTTTCGATTATTTCCTCCTTAATTTTATCATATTTGTAAGAATTAGCTCTTACAGGGGAGGAGTTTCCTGTATCTATTTCGTGGCTTACTATTTGAGTTTAGCCAGGCTAAGAATCAAATAGTTGTCAGAATTTTCTTACCAGAGTTTCCATTTTAGCCTCTTCTTTGTTTGGTAAATAGCTGAGTTCAGGTTTCGGCGCTTGGATTTCCTCCTCTTGTAATTTGTCCATCTGTAATTGAAATGTGGCATCTTAAAATTTAATTTGGAGCTCGCGTGCGTAAAAATCAATCCCCAATATTACTGGCACTAGCAAATTTTTTACTATGAGGAAACTAACTCGCTGTTCTTAGTTTTTAATTTGGCCTCGTAGGCACACTTTCGCGAGGCATAGGCATTGCTAACTCAAAACGACGATAATTTTCTGTGTCCCGTCACCTTAAACACATATCTTTTAAAATTTTTCTTGAATGTGTCTTCTGATAAAAAGCTGCATTGGTCCCCGGTATCTAACAAAGCAGTATCAGCCACGTTATTTATCAGCATTTAGATTTCCGGCAGAGCCAAATTCTTGACGACCACGGTATTTAATTGTAGAGGGCTTCTCTTGCGTCAGGGGTAAACGTACTCCCTTGTCATCGGTCTCCGAACTAGTTTAAATTCTGTTTCTCCACCCCTTGTTTTTGGTCTTGCGGCTTACTCTGGAGATCACAAAAACTTTTCGTTTTCTGTTTTCAACAGCTGAAAGTTATACGGTAATTTGTTTGATGTCAAACTGAAAGCAATAATTTTATTTATTTTAATTTTTTTATTAAGATATCTTAATATAATGTCTTTCGTCGATGGTTATTGTACTTACATAAACATTTAAATTAATGCACTATATTAATCCCAGCAAATGTAGAAGTTTTAAGAGCAGAGAATAAAAATTATGCGAAATTCAGGAAAAGCAGTATCCCGTATTTCAGAATTCCTGGAAAAGGACTTTGAATGGCCTGAAATATGTACAATCACTTAGTCAGAAATGCACTGAAACCTCATAAAGTTTTTATTAATTATACATTATATTCTCTATTCCTCAGAGTTTACTGAAAAATCCAGTTGGAAAAGAAAAACCTCTACAGCTTAAAATTCTCCTCGAACCATTACGTGAAGGGCTGCTGACACGGTATGTTTGTTTTCAACAATTCTTTGGATATAGATTTATAATAAGAATGATTAAAAAAGCGGATCTTATCGTAAATGTTTTATGAACATGAATACCTAATCCGATATTTTCTTTTATCTTTCGTTGATTAGGCGTGTTCAATATGTTCCAGGTCCGAGACTTATCTTTCGTTGATTTTGTTGTTTGAATATCTTTGTTTTATCGCTTAAAATGGTGTGGTGTTAAATGAAGGTTTTATTCTTGCTTTAAAACGTGTAATGAATTTATTTAAAATATGTAATATGCAAGTGAATGTGTAACAAAATTGTTGCCCCGCAGTGTAAAGAAGCATTTCTCTGAGTCCTCATTGTTCTACATTATGAGGTCCTTTCGAAAGGGCTAGGCTTTATCAAATCAACTGTAAAGCTATCTACTAATAAACAAACAATATTTTTTCTGGACATTTTGGGGCAACTATGCTGGTAAAAGTTTTCCAACAGAGGGCGCTGACATAGCAAAAAAATTCAGGCACGAGACAAAACTATTTTACGCAATGCCTGCTTCTGCGGATGTTTCGATGATCCAAAGAAACACGGGCTTGATGGATTTAAAGTAATAATGATGTCTTACCTCCCAAAAGAAAGTAAAATACAGCATAGTTCAAGATGTCGAAGTGACAGCATTTCAAATAAGAGAAGATGTAGTGCGAAAATTGCTTTGGAGCGTGTTCAAGATGCTGAAGTGATACCATTTAAAATAAGAAAAAGTGTAGCGTGAGATTGCGATTGATGTCTAAATTAAAAGAAAATCTCAAAACAGCCTGTGACAGACGACACCTATACGGTCAATTCTAGATACAATAGGTCTTGTTTGGTGAATTCTGTTAAGGAAACATTGCGCCCACTGACATTATTATCATACTAGGTTTTCAAAACAGCCCATAAGAGCTCCAATAACGAGCAACCGCAACATAATTTTCAATATCCTATTGAGATACATCTCTATGGTAAAAACATTAATTATAGCTGTTTTCAGGTCTCAGATGATTTGGAGCTCTCTAGTAATTTTACTTAATTAAAAGTCCGAACTCAAGCGATCTCAAGTTCAGGATGTACGGATACCAGACCGTACTGTATGGCTAGTGAACTGAATTGCTAAGGCTGTGTCTTTTGTACTAAATGTTGAATATTCTGAACATCCTGAAAGTTGTAATATCCCCTTTCTTCGAAGGAGCATTCTATTCTGATGGAGCCAATAATCTCCAATCAATTTAATTAATGAGTTTTTGAGTAATCTTTTATTCCCAAAGAGACTCTTAAATTGAGCTATATTAAGAGTTCCTGTGACAAAGAAACTGAAAACATTTGGCTAGATAAGGCAACTCATACCGCGATATTTTGAGGATTTAAAGTATTTAGAATTAGGTGTTTGTTTGCCTTTTCGAGCTATTTTGGTTTCTGGATCTCCATTTTACGCTGATGTTGGATTCCTTTATTCTCAAGAGTTGCGGAGATTTCATTTCAGCTCCATTTTTCTTTAAGCATAGATTGTGTAATCCAAATTTAGGCAAAAGGTCTTTTGCTCCTGAAGTAGAGGACGAATTCATATTGCCTTGAAATCCAATTTTATTCAAAATCTATAATGTTTCTGTTTTACTTAATATTACGTAAGTTTACATTTTTAGACTTGGTGCTCTTGAAATATGGTTTGATGTACCTGAAGTTTCTTCGTTAATTCATCCCTTCGGAGGCAATTACTTCTAAACCCCCCCTTCAACTGATTAAATTTCATTACAAACAGAGACTTAAAAAGAAGCATATTTGACATCCTTCGTAAACAAAACTTTAATGAATTTTTCCCCTGTATATGCACACCCGATAGTTTTCAGAAATTACATAGAACCTGCATATCAATAATACTGGGAGTATAACTACCTATAAAACGAGTTTCTTTTTTATCAATAGTCTTACTTCATTCCTCATACATAGTTTCCATTCACTTTGGATAAATTTGAAGCTCTGCTGAGACTATTTGAATCAATTATACAACATAAAAATTAGATCTCCTTTCAGCTTCAATTTTAAATTTAAGAAGCATAGAGCTGTTCAACACTGGCAGAACTGACGAATAAGAAATGAGAAGCTTAGAAATTCCTCTGGAGACCAAAATCTCGCTAACTGTCGTTGATCGGTGACACAATACAGTATCATTCAAAAACAACCATGAGTTCTGCTGTTGGTACTGCGGGCGAGATGTCTGAATTCTTTGACATATGCATTTTAAACATTTAAAATAAAACTCCATGAACAAAGTACAGTAGCTAGAGAATTTATAAGTGCATTTTGTAATACACTTCGAATCGCGAACGCCTTACTTCATGAACAATTCTTTTCACGGACAAATTAGTTGAATAGAAAATATTTCTGATGATGAAAGGCGTTTGAAGTTGTGACAAAACAATTTACGAAATTGAAGTCAGCAACAATGGATTTTAGAAGGTGTTTCCGGGTACTGTTAGGCCCACCAGCGGCCGAGCGGTAAAGTCGCTGAACACTGGTAGTTCGGTCCGAGGTTCGAATCCCTCGAACTGGTTGGCTGCATGGGTGTTTTCGTGGTTTTCCTCATGTGTAACGTGTATACGAGCCAGTTTCCCTTAGAAAGTCCTCCACGAAGGCATCCCTCCCCTTAGGCAGATAGCCCTAGTGTGCTTTGCCATAATTAAATACACCACCAGGTACTGTAACTTAACATAACTTAATCAATACTTAGAGACACTTAGGAGTAAGTAACTTAGCATAACTTAATTAGTACTTTACAGAAACCTGATAGCATTTGACATACAGGGTCATGAATTCAGACTAGGCAATATGGCAAGATTTATTTGTAGGCATAGACTATTGCCTTTGAACGGGCAAAGACTTCGAAAATTTTGTTATATTACAAATATAACATGTGTTATTATATACAACACATTGTATCTAAACTATATATATTAACATATTATATATATATATTTTTGTTATATTAATTAAAATATATTTGCTATATGTGTTATTCTGTCTGTTATAAGTAAAACAGAGCCTCTTAAGAGCGTCGAAAGGAGCTTAGAGACAAAGAAAAAGCAAAAAAAGCTATTTCCTAAAGATAATTACCTGATACCTTTATGAAAAAGTGCACCTCATTCAAACAGTGACATCTTCATCATTCTTTTCCACTTTTGCCGGTTATATTCTTTTGTACATATACGGTAAACAAAATTTCCTTTATTTTGTTTGTTTAATATTTTTTGTTACCAGTCTCACTCGTCTGACAAATGGCGAGCTCAAGTCGACGACACTCATCATGGCAAAGAGACAAATGCGTTTATCGTTAGCAGAGCCTTGAACACCATATAGTTGACAACCTGATTTTAGCTCAGTTTCACCCCCAATTTTGAGAGAGAGCACGGGAGGTCTAAGGGTTTTCCACCCCTCTTTCCCTATCACTAACCTCGGAAAATCAGCTCACGGCATAATTAGAGTGTCCCCTTGCTGCACAGACACTACACATTTGCAAACATTGCCTTCTCCTGGATTAGAGACCGGGCTTTTCGTTACGGCAGTCAGAGTCACTAACCGTTATCCCGGTTTGGCGGCGTTTTGTTTAATACTGTGTTTATACTGCATGCTTTAAGCTTAATGATTTACATTGGTTTCGAGTTTTGAAACTTGGGCACAAAATACTGCTGTAAAGTTAAAATAAAAAATCACCAGTGGGCTAAGAATGAATTAATCCATTTTACATTATTCGACTTATGAAAAATTGTTTCTATTTACGAATATGTCGTATAACGAACGACCTTCAGGAACGAAATATTTTCATGAAACTAGATTTCACTATACTTGTCGGGTTAAGGAATAAGCTGAAAGCATCCCTGTAACCTTTTGGAGAAGTAAACATATTTTGTTGTTTTTGAAAACATGCAAGAATGATTTCCTTGAGTGGGGTGCATTCTTTTGTCTGTTTTCTTTACATATCGGTAGAAAAATCAGATCTTTAGATAGTTTTAATATGACATTTTCAAAATATTTTAAGGAAATAGATTTTTATATTTCAGCGAAGGTGAGAAATGGCGTAGAAGACGTGTCTTACTCAACCCGGCTTTCCATACGAGAATTTTACAAAATTATATATCAGCATTTAATGAACAGGCTGAAGTTCTTGTTGAGAAAATGAAGAAATTAGTTGACTATCCATGGGTGGACATGATGCCTTTGCTGACAGTGACGTCATTATATATCATATGCCGTAAGTATTCTTTATGAAATTTAAACTTAATACCTTCATAGAAAATAAATATCGTGTTTATAAATAAACAGTTTTATATTTAATTTGCTATAATTACATAAATGTCTTACATAAATGATATTAATACTAAATGATTCATAACATAGAGGCATTTTTTATGAATTTTTTTGCCTTTACTCCTCCCTCCATTAAAATTACAAAAGTTTTATTTGTAAAATAATACTTAAAATCAAAACGAAATCTGAAACAACAGCAAAATAATTTTAAAAAATCTGAAAGGTTTCAAATTTATCGGTTGCCTGAAGGGTTTTTTTAAGGTTTTTTTATGTTCTCGCTAAGCTGACAGTCTAACAGTCCGCTCTTACACTAAATCCTGCTAACCCATGTTTTTATCTTGTTAGCTTTATAACTGAGCATCGTTTCCTTCACACTTACATGCAGTTCAACAACCAAATCGTGAAATTTTTAAGAGATGCATAACACCATATTTTCAGAATTCTCGATAGAGTGCTAGAGGATGCCCATCATATTCTTTTTATTCATTATATTAGTTCTTTAAAACTAGCCGCTAATAGTTATAAAATCAAAAATTATATAATGATTTTAATGAGACCAGCTAGTATAGTTTCATAAAAAATATATGCTTCTAATTAGATATTTCTTTGTTTTATTACATTTTAATTTTAGTCAATCTTATTAAAAAGTAGAAAAAATATTCTTAAGAACTGCGTTTATTGCTTTTAAATCATTTAGTTAATTACTCAATAACCGTACAGATTAAATTTGAAAGTATTTTAGGCTTTACTAAATCAAAGACCCATATCTTCTATTTTTGAATATGGCAACTGTCTCGCACGCTGGAGATAGAAATGTTTTATTTCGAACGGTGTTGTTGGTACTACTCGCTTTCAAATCATTGAGTTTGTTAATGAAAGGTTCGTTAAAATTTTGTAAGACATGAAATAAATAATAAAACAAATTCGAATTTCAAAGTACGGGCTGGAAGATGCACATGTTAAGGTGGAGGACTACTTTATTCAAAATTTAATGGCTCTAGATACCATCCTTTCCTCACAATGCGAGGAACATACATGCAGATTCTTCATAATTTAATTTGGGTAAAAATTATACAGTGCGATAATATTTGGTGGCAACAATTTGATAAATGATACGCCATTTATACTGAAAGAATACAAAATTCCATTTCGAGTCTAATAACTTCTTTTGGCTAACAATATAATAAAGTAAGTAATCCTGTTTGTAAGTTTTCCACTTTTAATTGATTTTGTTTTAATTATCTCTTGGATTTTTAATATCTCTGCATACTACGTGACTTTAATAATTAATAACCTTAATTTCATAATTTCTAATCTGTTAATTCTAGATATGAACAATTATATATATATATAGGCTGTAAAATATCAAATTATTACAAATATATGCTGCGAATATCCTGTAGCATTCTTTAAGCGTTTCGTTTTCCTACTTTAGAAACAGCAATGGGAATCAGGATGAACATCAGAGAGGATGATTGCGACATTAAAGCTTTCGTGAGAGTTAGTGAAGAGTATGCTATCCTTTCTGGTTATTCATTAAATTCTTTAACTTGTTTTTTGTCCCTCAATTAGTTAATTTTGAAAATAAGTGGCTTACTTTCAGGATAAGCAAATTGTATTTAAAAGAGAATTTTGTGTGTAAGTAAATGATGTGTGAGTAAATCATAAATCGAGAATGCAGTTGTAAAATATAAATTTTTGTCTCACTAAAACTGATTTGCATTTTTTATGATTTATTTTGTTGTGGAAACGTTAAAAAGAGTCCATAATAAGTCGTTTTTTGAAAAAAAAAAGTAATAAAGCTGTAATATCGTAACCAAGTTAGTAGTCCTTGAAATACTTAACAGCTGTGTAGCTAATTATCGCAGAGTTCTCGTACGTAGTGATAAACCCAAAGAAGGGTTTATTTGACCTTTTAATCCTAACTCAAAAGGAATAATAGATGGCCTCTTCTCGGGCTTACAGTAAACCTCCACTTGGGCTTAATATAGAAAACAAGAAATTAATTTAATACTAACTAAACTAAAACCAGCCAAAGCTGCGCCGAAATAATTAACAGATTTGGCCCTTGTTAAAGATAATCGGTGATTACTAGCAGGCACGTAACAATACGGAGAAGCGTAATAATATCAGATTTTTAACAACAACGTGGCCCAGAAGGCAGAACACTCTCTCCTAACGCTCTACCAGGCTCTCATAAGCTCTCCTAGTGAAGTGACTGAGACTTAAATACCGGTTTTTACATCATTTACATAAAACACAATTCCTGAAAACTCATTCTGGTAGGGAATCGTAGGTGGGAAACAAGAAGGAAAGGCTTGTTCCAAAATAAAATCTATTAGAAATTAAAATAATCCCCCCTACACAGCAATTATAAGAATCATACATATGATTATTACTCTTCAATATCTTACTAAAAATATCCTGCATTTCACTAGATCCAAGCATTTGAAGTTATGCAAATGAGTGTCACGTCTTTCAAGTGGTTGAGGGAATATATTGATAATTTGGATCCAAGTGTTTCAAAAGATAAAAATACGGAGGTAGATATATCTAATAATTTTGAAATCTTGCAGGTGATTTATAATTGACTCGGATATTGTATGCTATGGTAAAAAACAAACATCTTTATAAACTTCGAAACGCTGCGTGCTTTGCTTTAAATAATAATGTCTAGCAATTTTATACTAAATGCTTTTCATAACACCTGTCTGATTTTAAAAATCACTATAGAATACTTAACGCACCTGAAAAACATTAGACACGATAAGAAATTAATGTTTTTAAAATAAGAGATACTCATTTAAGAAATTTTTCTCAGAACTATCTGAATTTGATACAGATATAGGATTAATTTCTTCTATAAGCACAAATTCTAGACAGCAAAATGCTTCAAAATATATTGCTGCATAAAACTGGCAATAAAAAGTTTAAAGCGCTTTTCATTAAAAATAAATATTAGGCAATCAATTAGTTTCAAGTGTCAAATTATTTCTTTAAGTGAATTTTAGTTAAAGCGTCTTAAATAAGTATGCGTTATAAGAGCTTAAAATAACTCAAGTGCAGTTTATAATGAAGAATAACTTGTGAAAGCCTCATAATTTTTATCTACCTCATGAATTAAAAAAATTCCACGCACGGGTTGCTATAGGAAACATGGAAAGCGAAAGGGAAATCCATCATCGTGCTAACTTGAAAACAAAATTCCATTCAGGATTGATTTTAATTCTTCTTTCACTTTTTCTTGAGAGTTAATATAAAAAACAGAATTAATTTATTTAAGAAACTTGAATACCAATAAACACTTATTGCTACATGACAGATGATCAATGCTTTAGTATCTGTTCCTCATCTTTGCAGTCAAATAAGCGTTAATGAATGTCATGTCAGACAAAAAGAAATGTTTGTAAAAATTACTATACGTTGATTATTCAGAGGGTTAGTTCTAAAGTTGGTAATTTGACGAATGTCTTATAAACCGCATTCTTGCTTGTAATTAACTCTTATTATGTAGATATGCTTTGAACTGCCCATAAGACGACCATCCTCATTACAGATAATTCCAGTCTTCTGGGAAGGACGAATGCCTTTAAGCAGACGATTATCCGTAATGACAGTTACTTGTCTGCTTAATGGATTTATCATGTTTAATGCGTTTGGAGTCTATTAAATAAAAATACTGAAGCAGAAGTTCGATGCATCGATTAATTAATAACATTATATTAATAAAATTACATATTGATTTAAAAGACTAATGCACAACAAAAGGCTTTAAACAGTTTTTAGACTCTGTGTCCTCAAATAATAATAATATATTAAAATGCAGAAAATAAATTGTTGCGAAATGCCCAGCGACGGTAAGATAGCTTCTCAGCAAAGCAGGGTGAGGGTTGCCAGAAAGCCAGATTTGCCAGATTTGGCGTGAAAGAGCCCATTTGGCCACAAAATTGGCGATATGGCATAGACGGAGCGAGAACATTCTAAAACGCATTCTCGAAGGTAACTTAAAGCTATATATACCCCGCATGTACGCGGAGAAAGTAGTGTATAGTGAAGTATCTTGAATTCAGTAGTGTAGAGTGTCTTGAGTTCAGAGATTAGTTTGAAAGCGATCGAGCCAGTCGGGAGCTGTACTTTAGTGCTTCATCGTGAAGCTGACTTTGTCCTGATAGCCTGAAGACTGTGTTGCTGATTGTTTCAGCATGTTTTTCGACGACTGTAAACGTGTCTTTGGAATTGTTTTATGTAATATTGGCGAATAAATTATGTTTTGATTCTTCATCAAGTGTTATCATCGATTACTCCAAATGCAAGAATCCGTAGAGCGCAACAATAACTTATTGCAAAAAACATAATTTATAAGCACAAATTATCTTATAAAGCTACTTTCGCCTCTTACATATACTATAGAACAACGGTTCTCAACCTTTTAACTAACTCTCACCATCGAAACAAAAGCTGAAGAATTTTAGTACCATCACTACATTTTACAATGATTATTTTCCATTTCTGAATAGAAAATATAAATATATATATATTATATAATATAATATTGCCATTTACACAACTTATTGCGTGTTTGTATTAAATATACGTACATAAAAAAGTATTAGATTAAAAATTGGTTTCGCATTTTAATTATCAAAATTTAAGTTATAATACTTTAATTCTAAAATTTAGTGTGAAATTTGGGCCTTTTTAAGAGAGATAAAATTCTTTATGTCTGGACTTATTTCACTTAGTTTTAACGATAAATTAGCATCCACTTTTAATATTGTTCTCTATTTATTTTCCAAATATAACATAGAAGAAAATCCCTGTTCACACAAAAAGGTTGTGCAAAAAGGCAAGAGAAATGTTTATAGCTTTATTTGAAATGCCTTTAAATTCTTTTTCTCGATTCATCGAAGTGTGTTATTTTTGAAATCTTCAGTTACAATTCAATCACAGGAAATTTCTGTCAACTGAATGTTTTCTTCACGAGATAAAATTCCCGGTACATTTGAACAAAATGGATTTCTAATACGATTTTCTTTTTTATAATCCTCTGGAAAATACATGTTCAAATTATTTATCAATCAACAACAGCAGCTTTTGGGAAGCTGCTCCAGTCTTGTATTTTTCACTCGTCCATCTGTGTTAAGTAGTATTGTAACATTAGCCATTTTGCCAGCCTAATTTATATATCTCAACGCTACACGTTTTGAAAAAAAGGCTAAATTAGGCAAAATAGTTTCTTCCCACGCTCCGATTTTATTTTAAATTGTAAATTAATTTTTTTGTTATGAAATAACCGCAAGTGGAGGAGCTTCATTGTACGCACAAGTTGTGGTTCTGTTGAGGTCAAGCTTTAATAAAGAAGTTTATTTAAAACCTTCATAGAAATTTTTATAGAGAGAGCGATAATTTGCTTTGAAGTCTGGTAAAGTCTGAAGGACTTTTAAGTTAAAAGCGGAGGAGAAACATGCCAAGTGAAACATAAAAATAGTGACACAACAAACCCTGATTTGGGAGTAGATTTAAGTCAATATCTCAATCAATTTCAGGAACAGACAGCTACAAGTCTCTCTTCATCAGCAGCTACGATATCTGTAAGATTGCATTCAGTCAGTCTTACAGATTTCCTTGCTTCTGATGAAGAGGATTTCTTTTGAAATCTTAACTTAAATCTACGCCATACTCAAAATTGGCATGTGATTAATTTCACTTTTTAGTTAGTTTCATTCAATTTAAGACCCTGTAATTTAAACGAAGAAACAAACGGAACATTATATTGTAAAATTTCTTTAGTTATTTCAATAACACTCACTGCTCATACAGTGAAATTTGCCTGTTAGATTTTTTCCATTGGTAAATCTGTTTGTAAGGCTCTATTCGTTTTACTAATAGTTATTTTAATTAATCAGCATTTTCTGTCTTTTCATATTTTCCTCGCCAATACATAAATTAGTTAGGGTGAAAGAAAGTGTATTTAAATTGAAGTAACGAATAGTTTAGTTAAAGCGTGGTTTTCGCTATTGAGAACCCACGTTGTTAATTCTACCAGCTGTTGAACTTTAAATCTCAACTTCGCAAGCTTGTCGCCGAAATTATTATCTCGCCAGTGTAAGTTTCGGAGTCAACCAGCTAGGTTAAATCGAATTGTGCAGTCTCACATAGCTTACCTTTTAATTTACTACTTACTTACTTACCTTTGAATTTAGCTGCTACATTATCTTTTAAGTTACTCACCATAAGTTGGTGACTGTGTTAGTGCGTAAATTCGTAAGCTATTGTGTTAATAAAAAGTCTTTTACTCTCTTCCCCTGTTGTATTACTCTTCGAATCTTTGCGAGAAGTCGAGACTTTTAAGTAGATCTGGATACAGTTACATATTAGCTAGGAAGACTAGATCTATAATTTCATAATTTGACTGTGTGAAACAGTTTGATTTTCTTAAAACGAATCAGTAATATTCTTAAAATAGAACCTAATTGTTTTAATCTTTTTTTTTATAAAATGAAGGACTTTA